GGATGCGCTTTATCACATTTAAGCGCTTGTTGTGCAGTAACAACTTCACTAATTTGCTTGCCAGTGTCACCAATGAGTGATTCCATTTTAAGCATTTTGTCTTCCACCTTTCTTATAGTGGCAATAATTTGTTCCTTGAATTTTAAAAACATCGGATGATTATTGAAATCTTCACTATCGTCATCATCATTTTCATGATTGCTGCGAGCTTTTCCTTGATCACGTGATCCAGATGGAATATTATTATTAGATTTAGAACTATTTCTGGGCTTTTGTTTAGATTTAGCCGCATCTGCATACGACTTTTTCAAATTTTTCCAATTATCAGCGCCACTAACAAAACGTTTAGATTGAGATTTGTTAATATCTTTGTTAGTACAGTCTTTGGCCATATGAGTGGGATTACCGCAAATATTACAAATGCGATCTTCCTCTTTACTCCAGTATAATTGTCGAGTACCTGCGTTACCCTTTTTGAATTCAATTTTCATTTGTCTGGCTGCCACCAAATCATCTTGTGAAGAAAAATGAATGTAAGCGTAGCGACATCTTTGATATTTACCTCGAATCATAACAGCTGGGATGAAACAAGTTTTCCCTTTACATTGTGTCATGACTTCCTTAAGATCATAACCACTAGTTTGATAATGTAATCCTGATAATCTTAACGAGAATTGCTTCCTTTTCTCACGTTCCTCCTTGCTCAATAACAGGGGTAAAACTCTAACTATGTCTTTATTAATATGATAGCTCCATTGTTCATTGAAATAATCAATAGAATTCGCATCTTTATACGTAATGAAAGCAACTTGGTAAAGACCAGCACCTCGTGTATAAATTTTTTCAATTTCGCCAAGATCTTCAAAGGACTCACGAATTTTGCGTACCTGCCTATACGCAGTAATGTCGATTACTTGAATTGTACGACTATTGGAATTTTGTGACGTATCACTATTCTTATCATTTGTAGCAGGCACCTTCTCAGGCTTCAATGGGGTAGGTTGAAGTTTCACATTAAACACTTCACCTGAATCACCTTCTTTTTGCTCCTGAATAATAATTTCCATTTTAAGAAATTGGTCAAATTTTTCTTTATCCAAAAACGATACCTTTGCCCCTTGTTTACTAAGTTGAACGATAGGTAATTGTGTGTTGTATTGGATATTATACGTCTTCAAAGCCTTTTTAATTTTAGTAAGTTTTGTAGTTTTTCCCCCAAGAAGTTCACCATAAGGGACGATTGCAATGTGCTCCTTAACCTTTTCAATAGTAATGATCGACGGGTCTTTGTTTGAATTACTAGGATCGACATCCATGGGCTGGGACCCTTGATCGGCTTGCAGATTAATCTTATCCTGATTAGGCAAAACAACAGATTGTTGTTGATCCTTATGAGGAGTTGAAGGAATTTCTTTGTTAAGGGTCGGAATTTTATTGGTTCCATTTACGTTGTTTACAATATTCTGCGGAGGTAAGGGAGGGTCACGTGACAAATCTTTCGCGACCACCTTGGACTTTTCAGTAGCTTTCCCTTTGTCTATACCAGAAGGAGTTTTGGAGTTTGGGCCATAAGTATCTTGAACAATATTTTTTTCCATATCCATAGCACGTTCAGTTTCCATGGCCTCTGTTATTTTTTTATCAGAAGTTGGTTGCGGCTTCTTTTGATACGTTTTCCAAATACTCTCGTGATGAGAAGCATTTTCCTTCGGTGCACTGAAGGTGAACTGGTTTTCAGGACTAGTTGGCCTACTTCCACCTGCTTGGGAATTACGGCTTGAGCTACGTGTTTGTCTACCACCTCTACCACCTCGTTTAGCGTTTCCAGACATTTTCTATAAATTGTTAGATATTTACTGCGGATTTTAAGCGTTTTTAACAATTTGTAAGAAAGAGAGTTTTTTTTTTAGTCCCGCAAATCCAAATTTTTAAAACAATAAAAAGATATTATTGGGCGTTTTTTATAAAACTAGTAACGATTTTGTTGATCATTTTTGTTGATCATTTATTTTAAATTTATTATAAATTTTGTCACGAGATTTTCTATGGAAATCATTTCTCAATTTGTTATTAAAACACCTGCTGAATTGCCTCGAAATTGAAAATCATTTCCCTTTTTATAAAAAAATTTCCTTTTTGGTAAAAAACTCTCAGATTAATCTTATATAACTTTATGT